GGGCAAGATTCTTGCCAAGAGGATTAATGTGCGTATTGAGCATATTAAGCACTCAAAGAGTCGAGATAGCTTCCTGAAACGTGTCAAGGAAAATGATCAGAAAAAGAAGGAAGCCAAAGAGAAAGGAACCTGGGTTCAGCTGAAGCGCCAGGTGAGACTGACGTGGTGGGTTTATTGGTATTAATCTTTGGTTTTTGTATGCAGTTTAAGAATTGAGTATAGATTCAAATATTTTGAAGAATACTTCAAAACGCTGCCTTTTCGTACTTTACATAATGATTTTTTTTTTCCCTGAACAGCCTGCCCCGCCCAGAGAAGCACACTTCGTGAGAACCAATGGGAAGGAACCTGAGTTGTTGGAACCTATTCCCTATGAATTCATGGCATAAGCTGGGGATGGAGCTGTGCCTTTCAGCGCCTAATTCCCCCTCGGTATTCTAGGCCCCACTTAAACGGAAAAAACGCATCCTGTGTTGTAAGGATGGTTTTCTTAATTAAACAGGTGTTTGATGCATTTCCCTCAGAAACAAGTATCTGGAGCAGATTTTCATGGCATCTAGTTAATTGTGTCAGGTCTTTACTCTTCAGTGTTCTTCTTGCAGAAGGATACTGCTGAGGTATTGTGTAGCAGTATAGCTAGATGACCACATATTTATGAAATATTTATATTGGCTTGAAGATCCTGTAAATCACCATGGTGAAAAAATGTAACAAAATAAATGGAAGTCACTGCAGTTAAATAAATGGAAGTCCGTTTCAGTTAAATGGTTTAAAGCACCTATGTGAGTTCTGTTGTAGCGCTGAATTGTTTGGACCACTTCATGAAACACTTGGAAAATAATATGTAAACACTAGGGATGCTGTTTAATCTCTCTCCAACAGTAGAAACTTAATGTTTGTACTTCTGGAGGCTGGGAAGTCCTAGTCCTCCACTTCAGAGATGATGCCTTGTTGCTATCCATCAGAGGGATGTGTACTATCAGCACATGGGCAGAAGAGGGAAAAGCTGAGTTTGGACCAGGCTCTACACTGGGCCCTAGTCCCCTTTTATAAGGGGACCAACAGTCATGAACAGCTTTAGCCTTTGTCAGTGTAACATCCTCTCTGACATGCGTCAAGTCTGTTTCATTCTCTACCGTGCTTTTTTGCAACCCTCTTAGGTTATGCTCACTGTGTTTTTATATTTGTGTTTAAAAAGTATTTTGTCTAACACTGGGCTCAATTTGACAGTCTTTGTACTCCCAAGTTGTAAATGCTATGGGTGAAGAAAAGGTCCTAATTGATCACCTTGAATATTTTCTAATAAAGTAGGATGGGAAATAGCTATAGTATTCCCTTTATAATCTGGCAAACCTGGATTTGTCTCAGTCAGTGCTTAACATAGTAGATGGTAGTTCTTAACTGTCCTTGAGAGTTCACCTTCTAGTAGTGGAGAGTTGGATTTAATATTGGGATGGGCATGATGGTGGCGTGCCCGTAATCCTAGCACCCTGGGAGGCTGAAGCAGGAGGATTGCAATTTGAAGCCTAGCCTAGGGGGCTTGGTGACAGCATAAGACTTTTGTGAAATATAGAAAAAGGGTTGGGGATATAGGTTAGTGTACAGGCCATGGATTCAACCTCCAGTATTAGAGAAATGAGAAGATGGTTATTTCAAATTCATTCTCCATTTTTTGCACTTCTAAAAGCAAGATTTATATTGTATTTCTCCCTGTGGTAGAGCAGTTTCCAGACTCTGGTTCTGTTAATAATGAAAGTTGCTTAGCTTGTGGCCCAGTTGGCGTTTTTTATTTGGAAAAGGAGTAGTGAGGATTAGCCGCAGATACTTAGTAGCACGACATGGTATCGCGTTCAGTAACTCAGCTTTTCATTACCTGCCAACTGAGAGCCTCAGTAGTTTTCCTGCCCAACTGCTTAAGAGTATTTTATTTTTTATTGGCTTTTTTGAGAAGGTTTCACTGTGTAATTCAGGATGATTTTGAACTGCCTCAGCCTCCTGAGTGCTGGGATTACAGGTGTGAGCCACTTCGTCCAGGTTGAGTATTTCAGAAGTTCAGAATTAGATCATTCCTCCAACTAATTAGTTTTTAAACATGATTGCCCTCTCCTATACTTTAGGATTAAGTACTATGTAAAGTTAAGATTTTCTAGGGTTTTTTGAAGCTTTTAATCTTGCATGTAATAATACTTTAATGTTGGTATTTGCCAAATTAGTTTTGTAATTTTTACTGTTCCCTGATTTGCAAATTCCTAGTATATATAAGGTTCTCTTATTCAAAAAGCTTTTGCATAGATCACGCTTAACTGAATTCATATCTAAAATGCACTAAAGAAAATTATTTCTTCCCTTTTTAGGTGAGGATTGATAAGGAGTAAATGTTGGCTTTTTTTTTCCTAATGGTCACTGACAACCACTGGAGTTACTGTCTTGGAAAATGGTGTCCTGGTCGTGATATGCTTGGCTTTTTCCCCTTCGGCTCTTGGCCATTCACGTTCATAATGATCTGCAGGACTTTTCCTTTGAAGCAACATCTGCAGAATTTGCCAACATAGTGGTACCATGGTCCACTTCATACGTCTCTGCATCTTTGTTTTATTTGGAGAATTTTCAGTAACTGCTTCAGTGCTATGGTTGATTGAGCTTCAGAAACTGGATTGTAGACCAGTTGGAATGGATACTTTGTCTTCCTCAAATGCAAAATGTTCCTGCAGCCTCTAAATTTAAATGCAATGCTTCAAATTCTAGTTCTGTGACCTAACTTACTTGATCTAAGGGTGGAGGCATTAAAAATCTGTATTAAACTGGCTAAAAGAAAACTATCCATAAGCTTTTGCCTTGGTTCAGGGTACAGAGTAACAAATCACAAATTTTTTTTTTTGTACCGGATATTGAACTCGGACCTTGCCCTTGGCAGACAGGTGCTTGTGCCGTTAGCTATATCCCTGGTCGAAATCTTTGGGTTTTTTTTTTTTTTTCAGTCACAGTCTCGCTATGTAGTTCATTCAGAGTGGCCTTAAGCTCACTTTGTAGCCTAGGCTGCTCTCGAACTTGGAGCAATCCTCCTGCCTCAGCCTCCCAAGTTCTGAGATTACAGGCATACGCCACCAGGCCCGGCCTCAAATGTTAAAGTGACCGTGTGGTCAGATGCTCACAGATAACCCGCAACCCCGATACCACATGTAGTGGGAACACGTAGAATGCTCTTGGAATAGTGTAGAAGCTCTGCATAGCGTTGATTTCAAGAGTGTTACTTTGAATGTAGCATTGTGACTTCAGAATGGCCGAGCCACCGGGCAAGAGTATGAGCTGCCACTGATGCACAGGCAGAATAGGCTGGCAGTTCTGTGCAGGGAAAGACGTCAGCCTCTCCTGTGCCCTGGGCTCGCTCAGGTTTGTGGCTACTGCACCTCGGCAACGCAGCAATGTGTCTGGTTCTCTAGTAGTGTGTTACCAACCAGGGAGAGTTACACTACTAGCATTTCTTGGCCCTGTTCTCTACTAAGTATGTTGTTTCATCCTCAGGACAGCTTTAAGATGTGGGGACTTCCATATTTTATGTGTAAAAAGCAAACAAGGGGAAAATGGCTCATCACTGCCAGAAACTGGCGAAGTGGGGACTGAATTCACCGCAGTCTCCATGCCAGGGTCTTCCCCTAGCTAGTCTGACTCATGTGGAGCCCTGATGACCAGTAGGTAGTATGGGGGGGCGGTGGTCTTTTTATGTACCTTTCTTGAGGTATAACTGATATGTGAAGAATTGCACAGATTTAAAATACAGTTTCCTGAGTCTGAACATAGTAAATACCTTTATACCATCACATACTTGATCCTATATTATCTAGTTCTACTAAATTGTTTCCCCATTCCTGTTACTTTATGTATGCTTTAGCTGTTAGGAAAAATTAGTTTTTTGTACACATACTTGCCTTTGCCTGAAATGTTGCACTATCTCTGGTTCAGTTGAGTTCCTGTGTGTCCTTCAACATCTAAGCTTAAAGTGTTGTAGGTGATAACTTGGCTAACGCAAGTAAGGAGAGTACAGGGCTTACAATCAGGAGAGAGACTCCTAGAATTTTCCACAGTTCCTGTGACAGATGGGTTTGCTTCTGTTGGTTTTTTATTTTTATTTTTTGTGGTAAGAATGAAACCTAGGGCCTTGTACATGCTAGGCAAGGGCTCTTCCACTGAGTTATACTTGTAACCAATAGTGTTTTAATTTTTTAAAAGTCTGCTGAGTGTGGCTGTGCACACACCTAGTGCCTGATACATTGTAAGCATTCAGTACATGCTCTGAATTAATGAGATGGGTGAAAAGTGCGGCCCTAAAAAACAAGTTCTACACTTTGGTTTGTGTGTTCAACTTTATTATGAAACTAATGTTTTTCAGAAATTTGAGGACTGCTAACAGTTTTGCTTGTGAATAATTGGGATTGTTAAGCCGCCCGCACGGTGGGGAATGGCAGAACCGACAGCCCTTCGTTCACTCCCCAGCGAGTCTTGTTACCCTCACTGTGTGTGTCACTGGTCAGTCACGTGAGGACAGTGGATTGAAACAGGACCCCCGGCGTGTTCTCCGTGCCCAGTCTGTGATTCTGTTTACCACACGTGAAAAGAAGCCAGCCTGTGACTTGTCAGGACACGGGGATGCTGCTTCTCACTTCAGGGCAGTGGATGATGCCGGGCATTGAGAAGGGAGGGGTGAGAGACAGCAGGCTTGGGGAGCTGTTTTTCTTAGGGCAGGTAGTGAGGAAATGAAAATTTTTCCATTTGATAGCACAGCAATTTTCCAAAAAGCCATTAATGGCAGTGTTATGAATAGGCATAATTTTTTTCAGTGTTTTGAGTTAATCTTTAAAGACAGCATTCCTCACAAGCAGATCTTGGGGTTAAAGAATGTGTGTTTTCCAGATTTTTGATTAATTCTGATAAACTGCTTTCTTAAAGGCTTGTACCAGTTTGCACTCCAGTCTGCAATGCAGGAAAATGCTTCCTAGCGCTGTCCTCAGCAGTGATTATTGTTAATGTATGGTCTGTGCTATTTTGGGGAATTTTTCTGTTACTGAATTTGAACACTTTCCTGGTTTCCTTTCGTCTTTGCAGTCTTTATGGGGTCTCTTTGTAGGCTCCCAGTGATGAAGTGTCTCTGTTCTCTGGTGATGGTTAGCCTCCTAGTTTTATCATTTCTATCCTGACAATGACCCTCACCGTGTTACAAAACGCTCCATCACCCCGGCCATGGCTGCCTTCCTGACTGACCGCTTCCACCCCCACAGTTGCCTTCAGTCACACTTAACCTCCTTGCTCTGCCTGTGGTAGATGCCAGGCACATCTTGCATGAGACCTTTTGTAATGTCTCCTCAGTCTGGAAGGCTTTTCCTTCAGAGATCTCCATGGTCTGTCCCTTTTTCTTTGTAGTTTCTGCTCAAATTTTATCAAGACTGCCCCCTAATGTCCTGTGAAGAACAGCAAAGTCCATCTTTTTCTGTGCCTTTATTACACTGATTGATACCCAGTATGTTTTATTGGGAGGGAGGAGGGGCTGTGTTTTCAGTCAGCTTGTACCTATAGGTCTTTATTAGGAAATACTTGCTGGAACCTATTCTGGGGAGAGGAAGATAAGGCAACACCATGAAACTGTTGCTTCAGGAGGTGATAGTGTAAGAGGAGGAGAATCCTTCAAGGCCAAAGGTTATCGAGACATGTAAAAGAGCAAAGGGAGGGCCAGGTGTGGTGGTACACCCTTGCA